GACGATGACATGAGGAAGCCAAAGGGATCCATTCCTTCATTCACGACGAACAACCACCCAAAGGGTCCATGTAGGTATATGGTATATACTTAGGGCCCAAAGGGGTTCCCATATACCTACTTTAAGGGCAAAGTATATACCATATAGCTACATGGACCCTTTGGGCCAGTAGGTAAGCACAAAGCTCCTTGCCTCAGTGGCCTCTGAGGCCAGATGGTGATTGTGTTGTCGCTTTTCAAGCGGCTGGAGATAACAGAACTCAGCTGCCTGTGCAGGGCATCTTGAGTGAAGCAGAGGACCGTGTCAAATTCAGAGTCTGCAGGTTGTAGTGTTTTTGGTTGAATGGCGAAGGCAGCGCCTGAATAGAAATTGCTCTGCGGTGCAACCCTTCACACTATAGGACCATGCTAAAATCACATGATAAGTCTAGGGGTACATGATAACTATAAGGTCTTCAACTCAAGTTGGGCTTCTGATTGCCAAGCTCCACTTGCCAGGGCTCGCAGCGACTGCTTGAAAGTTCCCTGGCGGGTTGGTCCCAGCCAAAACAATTCGTGGCTAAAACGAGTTGAAGGGGCTGAAAGATGCTTGAGACTCTGTACCGAAGGGCTCCTACGTAGTTCATTGTTGGTCTTGCTTAGTGTGTTGGTCAAGGATGGGGCATACTACCTACCAAGGAACTACATAGAATCCTCTGGGTATATATGTTGTCTGATCCCCTTGCCTCTGATGCCCCAGGGTCCAAGCCTTTCATTTGATGCGAGGACCCACTGCTTCCGGTTTTCTCAGCGTCGGCGCCGGATCAGGACATGTCATTTGCCTTCCACCCAAGACACTCCGGTCATGGTTGAACATGGTTCTGAAGTCTTACAATGCGAAAGTCACAGGGAATATGCGATTATACCTCTATAGCATTATTTTAGAGTGGAAGCGGATAGAGGGTTTTGAGGAACCAGCGACAGGAAACAGTCTCATGTATGACCACAAATCCTTTCCTTGGGATTTGCACTAACAAGTATGGTATTTAGGTGAATAGGAGGGTGACCCCAACATGTTGAGACCCCACCTGATATTCTCTCAACTTCGAGGCTTATGTAGGGAACCCAACAGTACCTCTCAAAGTGGGCATCTCCTTTAGCTTGTTTATGCTAAAGGGGGTGCGAAGGAATGAACATAGGCTCTGTGACGGTACGTAGAGGACTTCTATGGGGGATCCCCACCACTATGCCCCCTTCATCACCGATAAGTGATTGGTACGGTTGACGCCTAAAACTTTGCATGGCGCACAGGACCTTATACCTGAGGAATGATGCCCCGGTACCCAAGGAATTGCAGCGGAATTGGGGTCCTACAGTAAGTGGAGCTTGGTTTCCTCTATCCACCATAGTTATACCAACACTATTCTGGTTTAACTCCTTTTGACTGACTTTCTTGCACCATAATGTACCCCAACACCCAGTTCTGATGATGAAGGACCTTGACCATATAGTTACGGGTTACACTACTACCCCCCCCCCATCAGATCTAGAGCCTTATTAGGCCTCATCCTGCCCTATGTAGTCCTTACTAGCTTCTTAAGCCTTTTGGGGGGGTGCCTTTGGAGGGGATGGTCTTGTTAGTTATCCTCATACAAACACTAGGACTTTGCCCCTGGCACAGCAGCCCTGGGGGAGCCGCGGCGTTTCTTTTTCGATGCCGTGCCGGCCTCTCTGACAGAGTGGGACTTCTTAGGGGGTTTTGCAAGGATTATGTATGGGTATGTGCTGGGTAGGCCCCTGGGATATTTACTATTTTCCCTAGTGGCTTTAATTAGGGGACCCTATATACTAATATTTTTCAATGGGTTTTAGGGGCCAACCTAGTGTGGTTTATTTTGGTATTTCAGAAATTGATTGTGTAATTCATGCAGGCAGTTGCTTTGTATGGCTTGTATGGATTCCTGAGAGGCCTTGGGCGCAGTAGGAAGTGCTCAGTTCGTAGCGAGGTTGACCCCTACAACCGCGCTTGTAAGGAGGTTGTACCGCAATTCCTGAAGAACCTTGACGAGAAAGATTTGATGGGATATCTAGGCATAGTCTTGAGTCTTGGAACTTGAGCCGTTTTTTCTGAAAACCTATCTTGTGACAGCTGCATAGTCTTCGTGATGTTAGCGGTTTGGCTTGTTGGGGCTATGCATACGCTGTATTGCCATAGGTTCTATTTCGTGATAACCCTAAACCCTCAAACCTATCCGCAGACTCCTGCAGCAGGCAGGGAACACCGCGTCATCTGAGGGTGTTGTAAATAGATACGGCAGTGCTAGGCAAAGCTCTTTTTTTTGCATGGTTAAAAATATGGAGGCTTCTCGAAAAGGGAGGCCCTTAGGGACCCCTTGGGTACATGTGATTATATGGAGAATTTAGGGGAACATGGGTGTCTTGTCTAAGGGTTGTGGAGGGATTGCTGGCTGTTTCAAACTGCATGTTCTGATCGAGGAATTTCCAACAACTGTCGCCTACAGAAAAAAGTGCCGAGGCCATTCATTGGTACCCTTTTACCCTTTTTTATTTTGGGGTCTCCTTATTAAAACAGAACAGTAGGAAAAAGGGTACCCTTATTATTAAGGGGTTACTGGGGAACCTAGTCTTACACCCTCCACGTCCTCATACGCTGTCCTACCCCGAATCAGGAATTTTCCTCTCCTTGTCTAACGGCGCTATGTTGGGTTTCAGTGTTAGGGGAGGGGCAGGATTTTAATCGTAAGGGGGATGGGATTAGTATTCTACAAACAAACAAGAAGAACAAATGCTTTTTCCGAGCGGTTACCCTAAACCCTCAAACCTCCACCCTTAATCCGGAACCCTCAACCCTGAAGCCTAAACCCTAGACTCCAAGCCCTAAAGCCCTAAACCCTAAAACCCCAAACCCTCAACCCCAAACCGCCTAGGTACACGCTTTCGATCTACTTCCTGTCCGAGGCATGGCAAAAGCTCCTCCTCACATGAGCTAGGGGCCAGGATTTAGGTTTTAGAATTTAGCGTTTAGGGTTTAGGTTTTGAGCCTGGGCCAAGGGCATATGGGGAGATGAGGTTCCAAAATTAGGAGTCTGCTTTGGAGTGTTTCTTTCATAAGGCATGTATACTACGGGGTTCCCTGTGGTGCGTCGTACGGTCATTTACCCCCTGCAATTAGATCCCGTGTCTTCTGGTCATACAAATCAGATAGGGGCGAAAGAAATCACGATCAGGCTTTTTTTTCTAGCGGCATAACCTGCAGTGCAAGCGGTGTGCCACAGGAGCATGCCTAGCTGCCCACATACACAAGGCCATGAACTCTTACGTCCAAGCCTCCATTTCATTTCACATTATTTCTGCTGGGACTTTAGCAGGTATGTGCAACTTCGCTAGGAGAATACCCATGATTTCCTGAAGGACAGGCCCTTTACTCCGCCTACCTGGGTCATTGTCAGATATAATTTTCGTTGTGCTAAACAGCCAGTTAAATCAAAGCCAGAAAATGGCAAATAAATGTCAAGTCAAGAAAGACCATGCAGTTAGAATTGTAGTCTAGCATCCCAGCAAGGGGCTTCCTTCTACCTCTGGGTTTAGGGTTTAGGAGGAAACCTTGCGCCACCTTGGAGTTCCAGAATGCCGTAGATCTCGGGGGAGAGGTTATAGAAGGTGATGCGAGATTTCCTCCGTCCACGGTCCCAACATCCCCCAGGACCCAAACCAATGTGGGTAATCTTGGGGTTATATGGGGGTAATGGAAGAGAAAATGGGAACCACTATAATGGGTTATGTATTCGGTATTTCTTGGGTATATATTCTCGTCTATTGGCACTACTTTGAGGTTAGGGGGCCAAACATGAAGCTCCTTCACGCTGTCCCGACCCATCCTTTGAGTCCTGAAGCTCTCGGTTTCAGACCCCAATCCGAAACCACGATGTGAGCATTTCCAGAATTGAGGGTCAAGGATCTAGGCTAATGAGCGTTCCCCTACGTACCGGGCCCTAATATAGTCTGGGTTGCTGTTAAGAATCTTAAATTAGGTTACCATGATGGGTATATATAGTAAATACTAGGGTTTCCCTCCGAAAAAGATACTTGAATTATCTTCCTTCACAGCCACCCAGTAGTGTGATCTTCATCTTAGATTCTCCTCAGAGGAACCCTCAGCTGCAGCAAATCTGTGCAGTTGCGTAGGACAGCTACTGTGCTGGGCCCAACGGAACAAAGCTCTACGCTGAGTCGCCTTGCTTGCACACGGTTCCGGGCTTGTGGGCTATGCTATACTGTAACCTGCTTAAATCGTGTTATAAATGCGATTACATGGGGTAGTAGTATAGGGCTCATTAAGGGGGATACTAGGAGTCTAGACTATCGCTCTTCTGTTTCAGGCTTTAGGGTTGAGGCTAAGAGATTAAGAGTTCCAGGTTTCCATTCTTCGATGTGGCAGTGGGTGATGATCTTCTGGTAGTCAGTGTCTCTACATTAGGAGCCTCCCATGCACCCCAAAGCACTTAGCTGGCAGGAATGTGAGGAAGCAGGCCCTATAACTTCTAATTATACTAAGAAGAGTAGGAATAATAAGATTAGCAATAATAATAGTAGTAGTAGTAGTAGTAGTACTAGTACTAGTACTAGTACTAGTACTAGTACTAGTACTAGTAGTAGTAGTAGTAGTAGTAAGTTTATAAGTAATACTGTAGCCCCAAACCCGAGGCACGCCCTAGGCCCTTTTCGTCATATGTAAGGAGCCGAAGTAGTTACTCACAATGGGTAAGCCTACAGTTATAGAGTGTATGATCCCTTTTCCTGCCAGTATTTTTTACTGTTACAGTCCTAAGAATTCTAACCCTAATATAACCCCAATATAACCCAAATATAACCCGAATATTACCCGAATATAACCTCAATGCAACCCCAACATAACCCTAATAGAACCCCACTGGTAACTATCTCTAAACCCTTAAACCCCTAAACCCTAAACCCTAATAGAACCCCAATGGGAATTCTGAGGTCCGTGAAGTTGGACCTTCTCCCTCAGCATGTCTACATCGAGGATGGGACACACGAGACGCGTGAGGCGGCCTTTAAACACTACCACTTTACCATGTGCCTTGGACTGCACTGTGAGGTTCTATATAGTCCCCCTTAAATGAATAGAATATGGGGTATATGGGGATCTTATTATAATATACCTGGAGCCATATTTTATCTACTTAAGGGGGATAGTAGCTGATTCTCTCGTTTGCTTGGACCACCTCCCAAGAAAGAAGAGGTTCTGTAAGAACAGTCTGAAGATCCTGGGGCCCAGGAAGAGTTGCCTTTTCTTGCCAGTAATGCTGCCTGAGTCTCCGACTCCAAGGGAACAGGCTCCATCAAAATTACAGGGTTGCTGTTAAGGAACTTAAACGTAACTTAAACCATGTTACTACAGTAAGGAAACCCTGTTATTCACTTTATACCCAAATATGGCAACTTGAAATAAGTTCCTTCACAGCTTCCCAGATTAAGATTCGAACGGAGTGCAGGGTAGAGGAGCGACCAGTCTTCTCTCAGAATCCTGTGCTGATGTGCCGAACACCTGGGCTTGAAAATGGAAAAGAAAGTGGAAACGACTATAGCGATTATAGGGTATATATTGGGGTTATATAGGGATAATGGAAAAGAAAATGGAAACTACTATTTAGGGTTTAGTGAAGTTACATCTCCAGAGCCTACATCCGTGACCTGGGGCCCTACACCCCACTGTACGCCCTGGAACTCTAAGCCCTAAGACCCCTCAACCCCACACACTATAGGTTATGCGGTGACTTCTCCATACGCCCGTTTCCGCCACTGGCTCTGATCTACTCGCTGGCCTACGTGGCCCATGTGCCCTGATTGAAAGGCTTATAGGCATCAGGGCTTAGGGTTTAGGATCTCGGGCTTACGGTTAAGGATGCTGGGTGTAGTGCTCAGGGTGAACGATTCAGGGCTCAGGATTTAGGTTTCAAGTTGTTGGGTGCAGGACGTTCAGCTTGGCAAAGAGATTTTTGGGGTACGTAAGTAAGGGTTTGGGAGGAATTCAAGGGATCAAGGCTTTGGGGCTTGCAAAGCCTGCTTTTAAGTGCATCGGGACTATATGGGGATTGCAGGGCGCCCTATACCATATTTGAGAAACCCCCTTTTCTTGCTCATGAACTACTCCTCATGATTTTGACAAGACGCATTTGATTGCGCTACAGGGTCTTGGTCATTGGCCAGGTGCGTGGGAAAGCAAGGCGATTAAAATTTATTGCTAGCGAATCGGTTCGGGATTGGGATACAGGGTTTAGGGTTTCCAGGCTAGATCCCACATCCTCAACACTGCTTACAGCTTGACAAGAGCAACTAAAACTCGAAACTGTAAGGCGGAGCAGACATCCCACTAAACCCTAAACCTAAACCCTAAACCCAAGGCCATGGTTCCTGAGCACATTCATTGGAAAGCCAGCAGGATGAGCCTTGCATGCAGAGATTATGGCTCTAGGGTTTGGGCGGGGGGGTTGTGGGTCCCTTGAAGGGGTTATTATAAGGTTCTTTTTTACGGGGACACATCGGGTTTACTGTAGGTTTTGTAGACATAAAGGGGTCCCCCATTCAGAGTCCTTGCAAAAAAATTGACATGAATGATTTGGCACTTCTCAGGAGGTTCCCTGACATTGGAGATTCCCTTGTGTGCTTGAGATTGCTCGAGCACTGAGAGCAATTAACCTTACGCACCCTTCACTCCCTTCCCGCTTGAACATGTGGTAGTTTCCCAATATAAGGGGACCCCAATATAGTCCCCCAAATAATGCAATCCTTATCATGAGGACCCCCCAAAAGGGTACCCCTAATTTTGGGAAACCCCATATTCATTGTAAGGTCACTGTAGGGCCTTTCTGGCGTCAACATTAGCAGGCCATTGGACTGTCCTGGGCTTTCTTGGGGAAGGTCTGGGCTTTGGCGACTAATGTCTGGGTTCATAATATGAAGTGGTCCAAGAGCCCTAGGGAAGGAAGGAAGCACTTGGCTAGCTTGTCAAGCATCCTATCAGTCAGCAAGAAAATGGAGGTATAAATGTGGGTACAGCCTACTGCACCTTCCATTTATTGTCGTGGTTAGCACTGGCGCAGCGTATTTTACTATCGAGTTGTTATTCTGACGTCGAGTCCCTAAACCCTAAACACTAAACCCTAAACCCTAAGCCGTTGCTTTTAACCTCTTACTTGCATACCTGGACCCTTCACCCTAAATCCTAAGCCCTAAACCCCTAGACCCTAAAGCCTAAACCCTAAAGCCTACGCCCTACCCTAAACCCCAAATCGCAAACCCTAAACCCTACCTGGACCCTTTAGGTAAGCTTTCCGCAGGTTCTTTCATCTCCCAGATGCTGCGCAGGGTGTTCGCTCGACCAGGATCCTGGGACTGGAGGCGAAGGGTTTAGGGTTCAAGATTTTAGGGCTTTAGGATGTTTAGGGCTTAAGGCTTAGGATTTAGGGTTTAGGGTTTGGGGGTTTAAGGGGTAAGGGTTTGGGATTTTAGGCGTAAGGCTTAGGATGTAGGGTTTAGGCTTTAGGGTTTAGGGGCTTTAGGGTTGAGGATGTGGGGTTTAGGGTTTAGGGTTTGGTAAGCTACTGGTTCTTAGCAAGGAATGATATGGGAATGTAGTGTATGTCGATTATACAGGGGTCATACTGTATACTCCCATATTTCCTAATAAGAACCACAAAGTAAGCCCTGGAGTGGCTGCAGGGTTGAGTATTTTGAGCTTTGGGTGTTGGACGGTCTTGGATATAGAGTTTAGGATGTAGGGTTTAGGATGAAGAGAGTTCAGGGTCCCTGACATAGAGTTTAGGGTTCGGAGTTTGCACCTAGATTTTTGGGTTAGGCTTGAGGTTCAAGTTTTGGATTTCGGAGGTTTTAGGGATTTTGGAGAAACTTGTGGGATGGTAGGGAATGGTGGAAAGGCTCTATAGATAATGGAAAAGAAAATGGAAACTACTAGAGTATGTTGGGGTTTCAATAGGGATGATGGAAAAAGAACATGGAAACTACTCTAGTGTATTGGGGTTATATACGGATCATGGAAAATGGAAACTACTACACTAGATATTGGGGTTGTATAGGGATAATGGAAAAGAAAATAGAAACTACTATAGTATATTAGGGTTATATGGGTGATATCAAAACATCAAGAGCCGCTGTAGAACCAGCGGAATCTGAGGCTCAGTATTTTTGTTGGACTTGCCTACCTGAGTCGTTGCAGATGTCTCTTCTTCGCGGCGCCGACATATGAGGAATTATGCTACAGTACTGTTTTGGATGGGGCCCAGAGTCCTCAAAACTGACGTGGCGCACAACCCAGCTTGCAACATGTCTTGCTCCTAGCCTGCTTGACGAAACTTCACGAGAGTACCGAGGCGGCTTCTCGCTATCTGAATGGTTGCATGGGCGTTGCTTGATGAAGGGTTGTCCTCTATAGATGATGCATCATGCGCACGCTTCATTTTTTGGAAGGCTATTTCGTGTTTCACAAATAGGGAACCGCAGCTTTGGGAAACCTTCACATGACTCTCACACCCATATTTGCATCTGTGGCTTTTGTTGCCGCAGGCTTATCTCGAGAATCTCATGGTCGCCAAATCCAAGGACTTGGCATCAGCCGGTTTGGGGGTATGCCGCAGCTTCAGCTGCCCGTGGTTTCTTCAGGCATTTCTGTACAACCCTGCCTTCATGCAACTTGGCGCGCGGAATGTGTCCCTAAACCCTAAACCCTAAACCCCTAAGCCCCTGTGAGGAGAAGATCATGGAGTTCAAGGAGACCTTCACCCTTCTCATGCAGGTGACCTGAGTAGTATTTTCTTTGGGGATATTATGGTACCCAATATAGGGTTTAGGGTTTAGGGGTTTAGGGTTTTAAGGGTTTGGGGTTTTAGGGGTTTAGGGTTTAGGGTTTAATTTGGGGATATTATGGTACCCAATAATGTAGGGTTTAGGGCCCTATAATGGAGAATCAAGCGGAAAAACATGGAAAATGAAATGGAAACTGGGATTATATGGGGGTTGTTTGAGTAGTATTTTATTTGGGGATATTATGGTACCCTATATAGAGTAAGATTATATCCTCTTTTTGGGGTATAGTATTATTTTATATGAGGAACATTATCTTACTAGGTTCAACCACCAAAAAAAGCGCTACTCAGCTGACCTGTTTCGGATGAGGGCGGCTTACCCCTAAGCTCGGGGGCCAAGATTCGTAGTTGTGGGGGCTGATTTAGGGTTTAGGGATATAGGGATTATATAGGGGTAATATAGGGGTTATATAGGGGATAATGGAAAAGAAAATGGAAACTACTACTTAGGGTTTAGGTTGTGTCACAAAGAAGATTGTTTTCAATGTGAGGGGGATCCCATGAGCCTGCCGATGGCCCTTGGTGGCCAGCATGTGGAGAAAGATTGGCTTTGGGCTTCATGTGGGAGCCTCCCTAAACCCTAAACCGTCACAATCCTGGCATATTCTTGGACTTCTTTTGCTGGTCTGGGTCTAGGCCGGAAGGCTAAAAAAGCTAACGATCATTTTTTGAAATTGCCACCGGTTGTATTGATGCCATGGCCATTTGTTCCCAACCGTAGAACCTTACGTGCAGAGCCCAATGCCGTTCAGGAAAGGAGATATGTAGTTCTTGGATCCATACTACATTTGGATGACAATTCTGGAATATGAAGTAAGGTTGTGCCTGGGCCGCACCTATGAATCTAGAGGTCTTGGGCCCCTAAACCCTGAACCCTTAAAACTAAGCCCTGACACCCAAACCCTTAACCTTAAACTGGTTTAGGACGCTACGGACACCGATTTCAGTCACCGTGCTCAGATGCTTTGTGCATTGAAGCTAGGCTTCTGAAAACCCAAACCGCCTCAACCATAAATCCACGCGCTAACGGCTCGGGTACAGCCCCCCGAAACCCGAGAAAAACGAGCAGAAAGCTTCCCAGCTCGTCTGCAAGTTTCCGAAATGTAGGCTCCAGGGTGTACCTAGCCCATGGAGTCCCAGT